AGAATTAAAATCATATTTGCATAATGTATGGGCTTATTCCTTCTTAAGTGATAATGTAACACCATTTATTTCTTATTTTGACACAAATACGTATACTTCTGGCCTGTTTTTTTTTTTTTTAAGACTGTGACCCAAGAGTCATTGATGAAAAATGCTAACTTTGAACATAAACCGGAAAATTTGGAAGACAGAGGTGAGAGAATACTAAACTCTTTTTGCAGAATAAAGCAAAACTTATCTGATTTTGGCAGGCCAGGCTGTTATTCAAATTGCAGTAGATAAAATCACTTTCCTGAGTGAGATTGCTAGGCCTTGGAGAGCAGTGTGATCTGCTGACTATCTCCAAATGTGCCTGAAGGTCAAGGGGAGGAACAGGGAGGAGCTCCATATAGCCTGGGGCCTGAATCCCGCCAATCTGCACGCCTCTTTTCTGGGTCACACAAGAGCTTAGTGGGGGCACTTACAGTTTATCAGCAATGTTTCAAAAAGTTGTGTGGCCAAGATATTAAAATTTCAGTATTCACTTTTCATGGAAACAATGATACGAAGGTTTCCTGGCCTGTTCACAGAGTTGTGGATTTCTTTAGGACCTAACCAAACATCTTCAGGATGTTTATGAACTATTTGCTTTTTCTTTGCATGTTAAATTAAATATCAGGAAGATTCAAATAGTTATGCATTATGTGCAGGATATTTAGCACATCAACACAACAAACATCTATGAACCACCATCCAGTTTAGGAAACAGAACATTAGGATTTCCAAATCTTGGTACGCTCCACACCAAACTCATCCCCACCTTCCCCCTTCGCAGGGGCCCATTAAGCTTAGTTTTGTGTTTGATTCCACTGCTTTTATTTTTTTCACTTTTACATTGTGAAGAATACCATAGATTCAGAAGAGAATACAAAACATGTACAGTTTAAAAACGATTATGAGGTGAACACACATGTAACCACGACTGAGAATAAGAACTAGAAAGTCGCTGCTGACTTAGAGCCCTTTCACACAGGGTCTTTCCCTGTCCATTCCCTCCGTCCGTCAGAGGTATGACAGTCCCGACTTATGAAAATCCTTCTGTGGCTTTTCTTCATAATTTTACTTCCTGTGTGTGTATCCCTAAATAATAGGTAGTTTAGTTATATTTGATTTGAAATTTAAACAAAATGGCATCATACTATGTATACCTTGTGTGGCCTGCGTCCTTTGCTCAAAATCGTTTGTAAAGGTCCACTTATGCCAATACATAGGTGAAGTATATTAATTTTCACCACAATATGACATTTGGCTATGCAAATATATTATCATTTATTTATCCATTCTAGTCTGTGGGGTCTTTGGGTTGTTTGAAGTTTAGTTATTAGAAATAATGCCACTATAAAGAATCATGT